CCCCAGATGGCTAACGGTGGTGTCGCTTCAGTCGGTGGTAGCCTGTCTGTGGAACACAAGGACAAGGTGGAGCCACACGCAGACATCATTCTCCACCCTTTTGTTGTGAATGATTCCGTTATTCTCCTGCAACCGGTGTAAATGCGCCTCCTCCACACCGTGGGTACAAGCAACGAACAGTACGTGCTATGATAGGATTCGTTAAAAATGTCGGGTTCGATTTCGGCTGCCAGTTTCATGGCTTTGCACGAGGTGGAAGAAGGTAGTAAGTGGAGAACAAAGTAACTGGGTCTGTGCATGGCTCGAGGGCCTCTGCATGCGTGCAAAGTCTAGATTGTAAGAGCTGTCCGTCTACCCTCTGGTATGTGAACCTCAGACATCAAGAGAGAGTTGGTTGCAGATGATTTATTAGGCATTTGTTATGGGAAGAATGGGAAGTGGGAAGCAGATGAGGCGAGTAGGAAATATCAATTGGAGAGGGACTCCACACTGGCTTTGTGCAAGTGATTCGCGTTCCCAATTGGTTCCCGCCTCTCACCTATAATTTGTTCACTTAAGCAACCTAGTATATATATTATATAGACGAATCTTAGATCATCCGCCACATACTACGTGGTCACACAAAAATAGTTCTAGGAACCCCCTTGTCGCATTTAAGTGTAAGTGTTGCAGATTGCACTGCGCTAAACAATTTGCCACTTGCTACGCATACTCTGTTGCACTACCGTTCCACTGTCTGAGTCTGGACACAATGTAAAGTTGAAAGAACTTTTAGACTCGAATCTCTGCTTCTTGGTCTAACGCAACTCCAGATGCACTTAAAACTGCTAGGACAATCAAGTACAGTCCCTTAATCTCAGAGGAGCTGTTGATTGACACTGCTACCTCATGAGCGTTTATTTGCAACATCGGATATATAGTGGTACCTGGCGTGTTATGCTAAGGTAAGTGCAACGGTTGGCATTCGCTTTGACATACATCTTGCTCCTAAACACAATGGATGTGCTGCAGGTCATACGAAGTTAACTCCTTCTGTAATGCTTTATTCACGTGAATACCTGACATTTGGCGATCACTTTAGAATTTGTATGGCCCCTGTACACTTGAGCTGGCCTTCGGGCCACGCTCAGCTCCAATTTGCTCTGTCGTCTCCGGAATACATATTCAATCTCACTTATGCCTTCTTCCACCCTTTGGGAAGCCTCGGAACGCTAAACCTTCTTCTTCCCCTTGAATGCAAGCATTCGGCACTATATAATGGACACTACTACTTGTCTAATGCGGGATCGCGGAATTCTACTTTGGCTTCTGCCTGAAAGGTAGAAGGTAAGGTAATATCCGCTTCTATGTTGATTTACGCTACTTTTCTTCTTAGTAATGATCGAACTTAAGCT